CCAAAAAAATTCCAACAAGCAGCCCAATTAATGAAACAGCTATAAAAGATCAGAACAGATGCTACCCACGGCCCTCAATGCAGCAATCACAGTAGAGTATGCAATTCCAAGTTGACAAAGTAAGTCGAACTGCACAGGATTTCAACCCAATATGCAATATCAGAGGTAAATGAAGCAAAACCCCCCCCCCCCAACGAAACCTCAACAACTCCTCCAACAATGTAAGCAAAATAGGCCTCCCACGTTAACAATCGTCTGCAGTTTTTCAGCTCAACCCAAAATTTAATAAGTGGCACCAGATGGCCAATCAAAAGCACAATTGCACCCAACCTAAAAGAATTAGCAATACCAAGCAAAAATAATCCAACCAGTACCACTTGTGGAACGCACACAATCGAGGACAGGACCTTCACAGGGCTAACTCTTGACTAGCCCAGATAGTACCAATTGATTTGGAGAAATTGGGGAGCAAAGTTCAAATACCTCCACTGGGACTACCCAAGCGGCAGTCAGAGTACGGCGTTGAAGCTGGTGGTGGGCGTACAGGCGCGGAGGGGCAAGCAACAAGGGAGGCGTGCTCCTCGCTGGTTGAAGCGGCAGTGGCAATTCGGATGGCGACGCGGGAGCGGCGGCGCGCAGCGGCAGCTTGGGTCGCTGTCTGTCGCGGGCCTGCGCCGCGCTAGTGGCGGCGCGCAGCTTTAGCAACTGCGGTAGAGGCTGCTGGCGGCGGCGAGCTGGGGTGTAGATCTGGCTGTGGCTGCGCTGCTCGGCGAAAGACTGGGCAGCGGCGGCGCGCAGCGGCAGCTTGGGCCGCGACTGGCTGGGGTCGCGGGCGGCAGTGGGTAGCGGACAGCGGAGGCACTGTCTGGCGGGCGCGATGTGGGCTGGTGGATGTCCGCTCGACGATGGTGAAGGGCTGCAGTGGAGGCGGCGACAGTCGCGGCGTGCGGTTTGAAGCGGCGGCCAAAAGGGGAAAGGAGACGCAGCGGAGAAGGAAGAAAGAAGAGAGAAAGAAGAAGAAAAGAAAGAAAGAAAAGAAAGAAAGAAAGAAGAAAAGAAAGAAAAAGAAAAGGGGTTTTTTTTTTTTTTTTGTTTTTTTTTTTGACTAAGAAATTGCTACGGTTTAGGGGAAAGATTCTTCTTCTTCTTGTTTTTTTTTATTTTTATTTTTTTATTTTTTATTTATTTATTATTATTATTTTTATTTATTTATTTTTTTTTATTATTCGAATAAATGGAATAATAACAATTTTTCCTACATTTTTTTCATTTTATTTCTTTCTCTTTATTTGAATCCTTACCTTTCCCGCGAACGTGACGCGGGCACGTCATAAGGCCAAGAGAGCTCCCAGAAGTTTCAGAATTCCTGATCGTGAGCATCCCGCACATCACCACGCGGGCACGTCATGAAGCCAGGAGAGCTCCCAGAAGTTCAGAAATTCCTGATCGTGAGCGTCCTGCACATCACCACGCGGGCACGTCATGAGGGCAGGAGAGCTCCCAGAAGTTCAGAAATTCCTGATTGTGAGCGTCCTGCACATCACCCGCGGGCACGTCATGACCGAAGGTCACCTACAAATCAGCAAAAACGAAAACTAATACCCAAAATCAGTCAAATTCAGGGAAAGCAGATTTAAACTATGCTACGAAACCAACAAACAATTTAAAAGAAACAATTGGGTTGCCTCCCAATGAGCGCCTTTCTTTAATGTCTTTGGCTAGACATTGTCCAAAAATTTGCTTAAACTAAGCAGGTAGGATCCTCCAAGTGCATCACCTCCACCCGTTCAGTTGGAACCCCTTCATAATACGGCTTGAGACGATGACCATTCACTACAAATTTCTTCTCAGCTTTCAAACTTTGGATCTCGACTGCACCATAATGGAAGACATTAGTCACAACAAAAGGGCCAATCCAACGAGAACGTAATTTACCTGGAAATAACTGCAATTTGGAGTGGTGCAGTAGAACTTTTTGCCCACACTCGAATGTCTTCCTTGAGATCTGTTGGTCATGAAAAATTTTATTTTTCTCCTTATAAATTACCGCATTCTCATAAGCTTCATTGCGGATCTCCTCCAACTCCTGTAATTGTAACTTCCTTTGGATTCCGCCCCCTCAATATCCATATTGCATTGTTAACCGCCCAAAATGCTTTATGCTCGAACTCTACTGGAAGATGACACGGCTTACCAAATACCAACCTATAGGGAGACATCCCTATAGGTGTCTTGTATGCCGTCCGATAGGCCCAGAGTGCATCTTCCAACCGTTGACTCCAATCTTTTCTATCGGGCGCACCATTTTCTCCAAGATAGACTTTATCTCCCGATTCGACACCTCCGCTTGACCATTGGTCTGCGGGTGATACGACGTCGAGACTCTGTGGAGTACACCATACTTGCGAAATAAGCAGCTACGGTTTTGTTGCAGAAGTGCGTTCCCCTATCACTGACAATAGCTCTTGGCATTCCAAATCGCACAAAAATATTAGATCTGATAAAATCTGCAACCACTTTCGAGTCATTAGTTCGAGTGGCCTTAGCCTCCACCCATTTAGACACATAATCAACTGCCAACAAAATATACAGAAAACCAAATGAAGTAGGAAAAGTCCCATGAAATCTATACCCCAGACATCAAAAATTTCTACAAAAATCATCGGGACTTGGGGCATATGATCTTTACGGGCTATATTACCTACCCTTTGACAGCGATCACATGACTTACAAAACACATAGGCATCCTTAAACAATGAAGGCCAATAAAATCCACTTTCTAAAACCTTATGAGCAGTTCTCTTGGGTCCAAAATGACCTCCACAGGCAAAAGTACAAAAAGCTAAAATTGATTGAAATTCCACTTCACTTACACATCTCCGCATCACTTGATCTGCACCTCTTCCATAGGTACGGGTCATCCCAGATAAAATACTTGGCGTCGCTCTTCAATTTATCCCTCTTCGATTTTTGCCAACCTGCAGGAAAGTTACCAGTTACCAAATAATTGACTAAATCAGCATACCAAGGCAACTGAGAATTTAAAGAAAATAAGTGCTCTGGGAATGCATCCCTCAACGGTTCATTATCCTCTCCAACGGGTATACGAGCTCAGATGGTCAGCTACTAAATTCTCTGAACCTCTTTTATCCCTTATTTCCAGGTCAAATTCCTGTAGGTAGCAATATCCACCTGATGAGCCTCGGTTTTGCATCTTTCTTGGCCATTAGGTACCTCAATGCTGCATGATCGCAGAAAATACAATTACTTTAGCACCTAACAAATATGACCTGAATTTTTCTAAAGCAAAAATAACCGGCCAGAAGCTCTTCTCAGTGGTGGAGGTAATTCAATTGGGCTCCATTCAAGGCCCGGGATGCGTAATAGATGACATGGACGCGCCTTTCCTACTCTTTGCCCCAGTACAGCCCCAACAGCATGATCACTGGCATCGCACATGATCTCAAATGGCATATTCCAATCGGGGTGGTTGATGATTGGGGTGAAGTTAACAATTCCTTCAGCTTGTCAAAGGCTCTCTCACACTTGTCATCAAAACTCGAAGGCTACATCTTTTTGTAGGAGTTGGAACAACGGGCTCCAATTTTTGAAAAATCCTTGATGAACCTTCGATAAAACCTGCATGTCCAAGAAAAGAGCGCACCTCCCGCACACGTCGCGGGTAAGGGTAATGCATAAATAATGTCTATTTTAGCCTTGTCTACTTCTATGCCCTTAGACGATACAATATGACCCAAGACTATCCCGTGCTCAACCATAAAATGACATTTTTCCCAATTAAGCACAAGATTAGTCTCTATACACCTTATCAGGATCAATTTCAGGTTATCTAGACCGTATCAAAGCTATCACCATACACACAACACTGCAATCCATTCATCCAATGAACTTCTATTATTTTCTCAACATACTCAGAAAAGATGCTTACCATACATCTTTGGAAAGTCGCAGGTGCATTGCACAACCCAAATGGCATTCGTCTGTAGGCAAAGGTCCCGAACGGGCACGTGAAGGTTGTCTTCTCTTGATCCTCCGGGGCAATTGCTATCTGAAAGTATCCTGAAAATCCATCCAAAAAGCAATAATAAGCCCTACAAGCTAAACGTTCAACCATTTGGTCAATGAAAGGGAGAGGGAAATGGTCCTTTTTAGTGACGGCGTTCAGCCTACCGGTAGTCTATACCTGCCTCCATCCTGTGGGTTTGCGCACTGGCACGAGCTCCCGCTGTTTGGTTGGCCTCTACCGTCACCCCTGCCTTCTTTGGGACTACCTGGACCGGACTCACCCAAGGACTATCAGATATTGCAAAGATGATCCCCACATCTAGCAATTTTAGAATCTCTTTCTTTACAACTTCCATCATGAGGGGATTGAGCCTTCTTTGAGCCTGCCTAACAGGTTTGGCATCGTCTTCTAGTCTAATCCGGTGCATACAAATGGCCGGCCTGATCCCCTTAATGTCTGCGATTGTCCAGCCTATCGCTTCTTTATGCTCCCGAAGGACGCCGAATCAATTTCTCTTCCTGCGTCTTTGACAGTGCCGATGAGATAATCACTGGGAGTGTCTCATTGTCACCCAGATACGCATACTTCAAGTGCTCTGGCAGGGGCTTCAACTCCAGTACAGGTGCCTGCACCACAGACGGCAATACCCTCTGGTGAGGTTCGGGAGTAAAAATAGGCAAGACTTCATACCTCTTCGTGGTGTTCTGCAATGAGTGTAATGCACCTATTGTGCATTTTAAATCCTCACTCCACTCCACCAGAGGAGTTGTCTCCAACTCGAGGTGCTTGGTTAAAGCCACCTCCAGCATCATCCCTGCCATCAGTTTCAAACACTTCCTGCACTACAGGGTCAATAGCACTCACAGAAAAAACTGAGTTAAAGTTGGAGTTAGAGGGGTACTTCATAGTATCAAAAATATTAAAATGCACAATTTCCCCATCAAACTCCATGGACAAGGTACCCTTATTAACATCAATTTTTCGTCTGTGCAGTGCTCATAAAAGGTCTACCCAATAACAAAGGTGAGGGATCAGGGGAGTGATCATCATCCATATCAAGTACATAAAAATCAGCTGGAAACACCAAATCATTAACCTTTACCAACACATCTTCAATCAACCCATCAGGATATGCATTAGTTCGGTCAGCTAATTGAATAATTATTCCAGTTTCTTTTAATGGACCTAGTTTCAAAGAAGCATAGATAGATTTAGGCATGACATTAATTGATGCTCCCAGATCCAACATGGCCCTTCTGATCACAGTATTACCTATCCTACAGGGAATAGTAAACATACCTGGGTCCCCGCACTTTGGTGGAAGCTTTCTCTGCAGGACCGCAGACACATTTTCCCCAACTATGACCCGTTCATCTCCCCTCAATCGCCTTCGGTTGACACACAAGTCCCTTAGGAACTTGGCATATTTTGGTACTTGTTTGATGGCGTCTAAGAGGGGGATATTTATCTCAACCTTGCGAAAAACCTCCAAGATTTCCTTCTCCTTATCCTGCTTCTTTGATTTTTCCAACCTGCTAGGAAAAGGAGGCGGGTTAGTCTTAACTGTAATTATTGGGTCAGGAAGTACCTTTGGATTTGCACCATTGCTATCCTCTTTCTCTAGCTCATTCTCGATCTTCTCCTCGTCCTTGTCCTTGGGGATCACAAGCTCAGGCCCTTGAACCTCCTTGCCACTCCTCAGGGTCATGGCACTCACATTCTTCGGATTTAATTCAGGCTGAGATGGCAATTTACCTTGGTTCTGGGAATCCAAACGGTTGATTGTTGTGGCCATTTGACTCATCTGATTCCTTATATCCTGTATTTCGGAGTCTGTCCTTTGCTGATATTGCATAATGGTTGCCTCCGTCCTTTGCTGATTTTTCGCCATGTCTGTCATCACTTGTTTCATCATCTCCTCCAAAGATGGACCAGCGCTTGGGGCCGGAGGCGGTCGGGGTTGGTATTGCTGCTGGTACCTCCCTGGCGGCTTATTTGGCCCAAAGTTAGACTGTCTGTTTTGTGCAAAGTTGGGTTGCCTATTCCCTCCATAACTGAGGTTGGGATGATCTCTCCATCCGGGGTTGTAGGTGCTTGAATAAGGGTCGTACTGCTTCCTTGGCGCGGGCGCGTGGTCAGCCATATTCACCTGTTCTGCAGTTTCTTCCTGAATCATTGGGCACATGTCTGCAGAGTGGCCTATACCAGTGCAAATCCCGCATACCCTGGCTTGTGATGCATTTCTCACCGCCTGTTGCCTAACAAACGCAGTCAACTCATTTAACTGCTGCTGTATGGAGGGTGTCTCTACCTCATTCACCCTACGTATTGGGACATCCTCTCTTGTACTGAATTGCTGTGAATTCTCTGCCATCCCCTCTATTAGCTCCCGTGCTTCCTGAGGGGTTTTGTTCACCAGTGCCCCTCCACTTGCAGCATCTATGATGCTCCTGTCTCTAAAAATGAGTCCCTCATAAAAATATTGTATGATCAACTGCTCACTTATTTGGTGTTGGGGGCACCTGCGCAACAAGTTATTATACCGTTCCCAATATTCGTAAAGTGACTCCCCTGGATGCTGCTTGATCCCACAAATTTCCTTCCTTAGACTTGCAGCCCTGGACGCAGGAAAATATTTATCCAGAAATTTTTTCATCAATTGGCCCCACGTGGTGATGCTACCTGGTGACAGGTAGTAAAGCCAATCCTTCGCAGAATCTTTCAAGGAGAAGGGGAATGCCCTCATTTTTATCTGCTCCTCTGTGATTCCCGGGAGTTTCATACTATTGCACACGACATCAAACTCCTGCAGATGCTTATACGGCTCTTCACCTGGTAAACCATGAAAAGAGGGTAAAAGCTGGATCAGACCAGATTTTAGTTCAAATGGAATATTGTCATTTAAAGCAGGGAAAGTAATGCATAAAGGTTGCTGAGTTAAATCAGGAGCAGCCAACTCCCTTAATGTCTGTGCATTAGCCATTGTTCCTTCCTCCTGGTCAGAGTCACTTGAAGTGTCGCCAAACGAATCTGTTGGGTCAACTCCTGGTTCAGAACTCTCAGATGCAGCACTGTAGTGCTCCTCTCTGAGTTGTCTGGTCTCCTTTCTCGTTCTACGCGCGGTCTTCTCTACCTCAGGGTCAAAAACCAAATCACCTGTGCGAGAAGATCGAGGCATACACTAGAAGAAAACCAGAAAATTAGGACACAAAATGAATTTAAAAGGGAAACAAACAATAACGCCAGTCCCCGGCAACGGCGCCAAAAATTGACAGGTCGTCGGCCTGTGCAATAATAGTAATAAATATAGAACCTAGCTACCACTAAAAGCAGTCAATAATTAATCCTAGGTACTGGAGCAGGGACTCTAGGTGTGCAATGGGTTACTTGATTCACCCTGTTCCCGAAGAGTTTACTTAATCCGATATACCAGTATTAATTAATTGACAAAAATTAATGAATAGTAGACAGTGGCAAGTAGGGTCGTCTCCTCAGGGACTGGAGATGTTTGTCTCTTTTTTAAAGTCCAATTGATAAGGGGGGATTTTATCGGAATGAAACTAAAAATAATTAGACAATTTAATTAAAAATGAATAAATCACTAGCACAAATATAGCAGGAATTTAATCAGGAATAAATAAATTCTAGCCAAGGATGCAACTACTCAGGCACAGTCCACTTATCCGATCATTGATGCAGGAGAGGTTCACTTAATTCATTAATAGGCTAGTTATAGTCTGATGACCAATTTTTCCTTAAATTATTGATAACCAAGGTACGACCGTTGATTACCCCTAATCAGCAAATACTCCTAGGTACGACCATAGGAATTAATTTCCCAATTGCATTAATATTAGAAAAACCTAGCCCTAACCAATAACACGCTACGAGGGTTATTTAAATTAGATCGCACGTTCTCCTAATGTGTAAACACACCAGTTGCCACTAATATTAATCAAACAAACAATTACGGATTTAATTGACTAAATTGGCACGAGATTAATAAATCACATTGAACATCGGGCCCTTGACATCCAATTAATAAAATAATCTCATGAAAATACAAGCAGGCAACGTGCAAATATGAATAAATTAAGGAACGCGTGAAAACTAATTAAATCTCACAGATTTTCGGGACTGCGCCGTCGAGTTGACCCTTGACTAGATGGAAGATTTAGCCACGCCGCATAATTAAGTCACCACACGAATTAATAAATTGCGAAGGCATTGTTTTTGGCTAAAAAGTAAGGAATGAAGGATGTTTTTCCCGTTGGGGAATTTTGTCGAACACCTGGCGTGTGTCAGAGGCCAGTCAAAGGAAAAAAGAAAGAAAAACTAAAAACTAAAGACTAGGCTAAGAAGCTGAACTAAAAAACGGTCCCCTGCCTCCGTACGTTAGTTGCCTTTAAAAAGAAACAAAAGAAAGATATCCAGCGGTCCCCACTGATTGGTCACAAGCTACCGCCTTTCTTCTTAGTCCTCTTAGGCTTTTGTACGTTGCTTTTTTTTCAAGAACCAAAGGACCAAAGCCTTTTTTGTCCTTTCCTCCGTGGTCCCCACCGAAGTCAAAGGCCCAAGCCTTCAAGTTCTCTCTGCCAAAGTCTCCCAAATTTGCATCCAAAAGTCCCTCTTTTTGTACTTATCTGCTCCACTCCTGGAATTGGGTCCAAATACCAAATATGAGTGAATATCAACAATTAACACAATATTTGTCCTGGATAGAAGGGGAAATTAATAATAAAATTACTAACAAATTATACCCTATCAATATATAAATATATATTAACATATATTAATATACATTTTATATACATATTAATATTAATATACATAATTGAAATATAAATATAAATATTAATATAATTTATATATAATAAAATATAAATATTAATTGAAATATACAAATTGAAATATACATATTAATATACATATTATAAAACAAAATTGAAATAAATATATTTATATATTTATATAAATATATTTTAAACAAAAATATTTATATATAAATATATAATATTTATTTCAATTGATATAATATATATAATATACATATTAATATACATAATTGAAATATACATATTAATATATATTAATTTACATATTATAAAACAAAATTGAAATAAATATATTTATAAATTTATATAAATATATTTATAAATATATTTTAAACAAAATATTTACATTTATATATGAATATATATATATTATATATATATATATATATATATATATATATATATATATGGTGGATGGGTATGTGGGATAAGCATTTGAACGAGGAAGAAGAAAGATATGAAAAGAAAAACGAAATTAAAGGTAAAAAATTGATTATTAAATTTGATACCCATTCCTTACCAATATTTACCAAACACCTCATTTGTAATCATATCTTTGTCCAAAACCCATACTAAGTTTGTTTGTATGATTCCAATTACAATTCCAATTCCTAAACTTGAACCAAGCGCCCCCTATAAGTATTGAACATATATAATAGTGAATAAATAAAGGATGATTATTCGATTCTGGAATATGGATTGAGAAAGGATATATATATTTTTTTACTTAGGAGAAAGGGATTGCTTCCTTGGTACTACTCCTACTGGGCCTTGACTCTTTGAGCTTGATTAACAGCTTTTTACGATTTACTTTACATCTTTTTATGTATTCCACAACTTTTGCTCAATTATTGCAAGATATTAGACGGTATACAAGGATCCATTCCACACAGCTCCACTTTTTGCCTCACATTTGAATTTACCAACACGATAGACCCCAAATGTTTCTTGCATTAACTATTTAAAGTTTTATCCTTCAAGAGAAAAAAACTGTTTAAAGTTTAAGGGATATTTGGTAAATAGGTTTTATACTACGAGTTTCAAATTCAATCTCGTTTGGATTACTATTTTCTGAAAACGATTTGACATATGTAAGGTAGAAAGGTGATTGAAAAATGTGATCACGGAAAAAGTAACAATTTTTTTTGGAAAAATTTGCAATCCAAACATGTAAATCTAAATAAATATGATACACTTATTCTTTGGATTTTGTAATTAATTATTTTTTAAATAGGGATTTAATGTGTACTTATTTATTTGTCTCGTATCTTAAATTAAGAGTAAGAAAGCCATTTTCATTTTATATGCTACATTCCGCTTTTCTTTCATTTTTTGGACATCCTTTACTGTTAACATCTTTTCTCATGTGGCGGTGGGGATAAAGCATGAGAATAAGAAATTTCCAAGCGAACACGTATCGAAAAGACAATAGGGAAAACAGTCCAATATACTTGATTCCAAAACCTTTGCACATTTCCACTTCAACAGATAATTAGTACACAATAATCCACCATTTTCTAGGTATGGAAATCTGCATGTGGTGGAGTAGTTTGGTGAGACTTCACTGTTGCAATCGTAGAATATCTCAGAAAGCTGTAGCTTTTTTATTTTTCATAACTTCAAAATAAACCACAGTCAAAAGGCATCCATTTCCTCGTAAGGGGTCTCAGACTCTTAGCTTCTTTTTTTTTCGACTGAGAAGTATCCTGACCTGACCAAAATTACCTGAACGGGCCAAACTACTCTTTCCAAACTGTGAGAGTCCTGCCCCAAGGATCACAGCACAGTAGCTCCCGGAAATCGAATTTAAGACCTGCTCCTAAAGAGGAAACTACGAAAACTGTCTGACTCTCAGCTGCCCCGGGGGCCTCAGACTCTCAGCTTGTTCCTACAAAAACGCGTTACTTATCACACTTGGTACCTAGGAATTGTGTGTGGATATTTTTGGACACAAGTGCCTTGTGGATGCAAGCCAGAAAGTCTTATTAAATATTTAATAATTATTTTACCTTCTTTATTTTGCTTTTATTCTTTTCCTTTCAAAAAAGATCAAGCGTGGGGTATTCCATCTATTCATCGATGACTCAAATCGCAGACGTAGGTGACTAGTAAAACATCATAGAATTAAATTGAATTTCTTTGTCATATTTGTTTTATATTGTTTTCTTTTCAAAATGGTAAGTTATATTGATATGGTATACCTTAACAATGCATGGATAACGGCCAAAAAAACTATACAAAGTGTACATACTGAAGCACAAAGGAATAGAATGAATCTATTATTTCTCGTCACGACATGTGCCTCAAGTATAAAATGTAAAATGATGTAAATCCTCACAATATTTTTCCATTAAATCATATTTGTTTTATTTCAGAATTAAGATTTGTTTATATGTACAACGATGGAGTCTGCATAGGATCTACGAATATTTGTTAACTTCCCTCGTCAGTTTACACCTTATGCCCACCTCAAATGCCAATCGCTGCATGCTATGATTGAGAAGCTTAAGCAGCAACCCTTTACCTTTAATCATTCTTTAATTCACTTTTGAATTGTTTATTCAAAAAGATGGATTATCACTTTAAGATGGGTCACTGACCAATTTAGCAGATAGACCAAACATTAGAGACTAAAACTGCAACTCTCTCTGGAAATTATAAGATTGTAACACATAATCACAAAAAATTTTCTTTGGTTTACTAATGCTTTTGCATCTTCCAAAAAATTTTTCTATGGATTTCCACGTATTGAATTTGCAGAGTCTTAATTTCTTCAATATTTCCTGTGTCCTTAATTCTTCCTAACATTTTTATCGTTAACTTGTTTGGGAATTTCTAATGAAGAAAAGTGTTGGCAAACTAAACCAAATCTAAAAGTGTTTATTTATTAGTTTTATTGGAGTTAGATTTTAATAGTTGTGCAATTTAGAAATTTATGTTTTATTTGGTAATTTCTCATGCAAGTGGTTTCTTTCCAAACAAATTTGGTAAATTATAAATAGGACGTTATTTAGGGTGTTTTCTAGAGAGAATCTAGTAGAGTTTGTCACGTTTTCTATTATGGTGTAACTTTCTTCATTGTTTGAAATTTCAATAATATTGTGAGTTTATTATTTTCTTCTCTCCCACATATATTTTGAGTGTTTGTTTTGTCCCTTCAATTCTATAACCTTGCACATATTAATTATTATTAGAATCCTAAAATTTTGGGTTCTACAATTGGTATTAGAGCTAGATTATGAGGTAGAGGTGTCAAAATGGGTGACTTGGGTGGGTTTGGGTTGGGTAAAATGGGTAATGGGTATAAGTGAGTCAACTCATTTATACCCATTTAATTAGATGG